CACAACCAACCTGGCCTTCAATCTTTCCACAGAACCATCAGAATGTTGTTTAATTTTGTAAACCCACTTACATGGCAAAGCCTTCTTCCCTGGTGGTAGCTCTATCACATCCCATGTCTTATTGAGCTCAAGAGCCTGAATCTCCTTTGCCATAGCATCCTGCCACCCTGGATGGTGTGCTGCCTGTGTAAAACTAGCAGGTTCATGAAGGTTAGAAATAGAGTTGAGCATATGTTGATTGGGGGGAAGAGAGTCCAGTAAAGGAGACAAAATGAGGGGTCACAGGAGCGAGGAAACAGGAACTGCTCACATTTGTGAGATGGAGAGCATTGCACATGTAGTTCTTGAGATGCGGGTTGTGTGGCCTGGAAGATTTTCTGATGAGATCTTCTAAGTGGAGTTCAGTGTCAGAGGAAGGAAATATAGGAATAGGACTAGGTGATGGAGTGGAGGTTTCAGAGGTATAGTTAGAAGGGAGGTGTGTTGTAGGTAAGGGAGTTGAGGTAGGTGAGGTAGTAGGAAAACTAGTCACAGGTGAAGTGAGGGGAGTGTTGGAGGCATGAGAAAAGGGAGCACCTGGTGTGAAATCTGAAACAGGGAGATGAGCAGGATAGAGACTAGCAGTAGGCAGAGGAGGGTTAGAGGATGGACTGGATGCAATTGAAGCAAAAGGAAAAAATTCCTCATGAAACACAACATCCCTTGAGATGAAAGTTCTCATAGTTTTGAGACTAAGCAATTTATAACCCTTCTTACCATGTGGATAACCTAAGAAAACACAAGCTACAGCCCTAGGTGCAAACTTAGTTCTGTGATATGGTGGAGTAGAAGCAAAGCATAAACAACCAAAACACCTTAACATGGAGTAGTTTGGCATGGTTTTGAAAAGTTTTTTCATAAGGTGTTTTAGATTGTAGAATTCTTGAAGGGAATCTGTTGATCAAATAGGTAGCAGTGAGAAGACAATCCCCCCAATATGCTATGGGTAAATGTGACTGATATAACAAAGCCCTGGAGGTTTCTAACAAATGCGTGTGCTTTCTCTCCACAACTCCATTTTGTTGTGGAGTATGTACACAAGTGGTTTGGTGAACAATTCCTTGGGATTGAAAAAATTCTTATTGTATCTTGCCACTGCCTAACTCAAAAGCATTGTCTGTTCTAACAATTTGCACCTTTGTTTGAAATTGTCTTTCTACCATAACTAAATAGGACTTGAGAACTGCAAATGCATTGGATTTGGTACTTAAAAAGTAAGTCCAAGTACCTCTAGTAAAATCATCCACAATGGTAAGGAAATAGGTAAAATTATCATAAGTAGGGGTGTTATAAGGTCCCCAAGTATCCACATGTATCATTTCAAAAGCATTCTTCGTTGATATAGAACTTGTGGGAAAAGGAAGCTTAGATTGTCTTGCCAAAGGGCAAATAGCACAAGGACTAGAGAAAGTAGAACAAGAAGGAATGCAATCTGATGAAATTTTCTTCATTTTACTCAAAGGTAAGTGGGCTAATCTATAGTGCCATAACTTCTCTCTTACATTTGGATCAGAAAAGACAAAACAGAAATTAAAAACAACATTGGAATGTGCATTCCTTTTGGAAATAGAAAAACTACTACACTTAGATAGATTCCTAGAGGCAGCTGCTGAGTGACTAGTTCTGAGAATGTAAAGCCCTCCCTCTTCTTTACCAATCTCCATAGGGCTCTTCGGTGAAGGGCCCTGTAACAGAATATAAGAATTAGGAGTGAATAAGACATACTTCTTGAGTTGTTTGCACAATTTATGTACAGATAGAAGGTTATATCTGAAAGATGGTATATACAAAACATCATGTAACACCATATTGGGAAATAAAGAAACTGAACCTGAGTGTGTCACTTTAACTCTATAGGAATTTGGAAGCTTAACCATAAGGGGTTTAGGTAAGGCTTTATAGTGAATGAAAAATTCTTTGTTGAAACACATATGCTCTGTTGCTCCACTATCTAATATCCATGAATTACTGTTAATTTGAATGAAACATGCACACGAATCAAAGAATTTTGTCATACCGGCACAGCTCACATTTGCTGAAGGTTCAGAAGAGCTTGCATTCTGTTGTCCCTACTTCATCTGCTGAAGAAGCTGCAGTAACTCTGCCATATTTTCTTGGGTAAGAGACTGTACATTTTCTGCACTATTTCCTGTTTGGACACTTTCCTCATTTGACCTGAAAACATTACTTGTTTGCACCTGTCCTTGTCCTTGAAACTTTCTCTATTTTGTAAACTTAAAATCAGATGGGAAACCATGAATTCTGTAGCACTGATCAATGGTATGGCCTGGTTTCTTACAATAGGCACAAATACCGGTAGGCTTCTTAGAGTTGAGGAATCCCTTTTGGCCTCTGTTATCCTTGACCCTTCTGAAGTTTGTTCCCTGATTGTTGTTTGTTGCCTGATTGTTAACCATAAAAGAGGCTGATTCCCTAGGATAAGCTGGTGTGCATGGATTTCTCATTGTTTTTCATCTTGAATAACAAGAGAATAAGCTTTTCCTATAGAGGGTAAAGGGGAAGATAGAAGAATGTTGCTCCTTACCCCAATGAATGTGTCACTTAGACCCATTAGGAACATCAGAAGTCTTTCATCTTGATGTGCTTTGTGTGACTTAGCTTTAGCCCCACACTCACAATCACACACACAAGCAGAGAAAGTATTAAGTGCATCAAGTTCATCCCAGAGGCTTTTCATTTTAGTAAAATAAGTAGACACACTCGTGTTACCTTGAACCACTCCACTGAGCTCCTTTTGTAACTGAAATAATTTTGCACCATTTGTTTGACCAAATCTGTCCTCCAGGTCACTCCACAGGTCTTTTGCACTCTGCAAGTATAGCACATTTTCAGCTATTTCTTTTGACAAGGAGTTCAGCAGCCAAGGGAGTACCATATGATTGCAACGAGCCCAAGCTTTCTTCAGACCAGAATCTGCCTCAGGGACAACTAGGGATCCATCAATAAACCCTAGTTTGTTCTTAGCAGAAAGAGCAATCACAACAGCTCTCCTCCAACCTCCATAGGCTTTTCCATCAAAGACTGAAGAGACTAAGTTCATCCCTGGATAATCTGAGGGATGAAGGTAATAAGGGTGAGCTGAGTCAACAATACCTGCTGCTGTGCGAGAGGCTGCAGGTGCAGTGACTCGTGTAGTGGAAGAAGAATTGTCTGGGGTTTCAGTGGAACCCATTGCTGAGAGAATGAAGGAAGAAAAGGATAGAAATTATGTGATTGATTTGAGATGTTTAGGAGCAGATATGAACCTGCTCTGATACCATGCAGGAATGTACAAACAAACGTTGGAAAATTTCCTTTTCTGTATTGATTGAATTGATTTTGCTGTACAGGGATGATGTATAAATACAAGAAAAAAGAATCTAGGGTAAAACAGTAGAGCCAAGTGGCATTCTCTAATTGACTACTCTATAACTAATTTTATTCTCTATAACTAAAAGGAAGATAAATACAAAAGGTAAAATAATTACAATATCTGATCTTCTAGAAGAGTTGGGCTTCTAGTTGTTTTTCAGCGGTAGTCCAGTAATGAGCCCAAATAGAATAAGGCCCAGTAGAAATGAGGCCCAAGTCCAAATCTTCTTTGCAGATCAAAACATAAGTTTTTCGGACAAAACAAAGCAAGGCTATCCTTATAATCATCGAACACTTCATCGTCTTCTCTAAGTTGTCTCAGAAATTAGGGTAACATCAACACCCCCCCCCCCCAAGTTGGAGGGGGAGGTACGAACACCCAACTTGCCCAATAGATTTCGATGGAGAGGACCTGTGAGGGGTTTAGTGAAGAGATCTGCAAGCTGAGAGTTAGATCGAACAAAGGAAAGAGAGATAAGTCCAGCAAGAAATTGTTGTCGCACAAAGTGACAGTTGATTTCGACATGCTTGGTGCGTTCATGGAAGACTGGGTTCTTCGCGATGTGAAGTGCAGCTTGGCTATCAGAATGAAGAGGAACAGGTAAAGAAATGGGGATAGAGAGATCCTCAAAAAGACGAACCAACCAAGTGAGTTCAGCTACTACCCGTCTCATGGGTTCTTTTTGCGGACTACGTCGAAGAACTGTTATAAATTAAACAATTTCAAATATTCGTAGTTGCTTTAGACACAATTTTAATCTTCTATCAGGTTGATTGTGTACACGTTCGCGTGACATAATTACGATTTTCAAGAATAAAATCAAAGTACGCATTCGCGCGACTTTGGCCAAAACAATCTTAATAATTAATAAAGCATGATTAATTGTGTACACGTACGCGTGACATGATTTTTAAGTGCCCCAAATAAAGCAGATTTACACACATGTAATCTGTTTCAAAGATTAAATCCATAACGCCATAATTAAAAGCGGTGAAAGGTAAAATACACATAGGTTCTATAATGAGTAAATAAAACAATTTAATTAAGCCAGGTATGATTAAAGCGACCGTGCTAAAATCAAAGAATCTGGGAGTGCCTCACACCTTCTACTGGGTTAACAGAATTCCTTACCCGATCTTCTAGTTTCATAGACATTAAACAGAGTCAAATTCCCTCGATTTGGGATTTAAAATAAATCGGTGACTTGGGATATCATAAATATTCCAAGTGCGACTCTGAATTAAATAAATAATCCCATTTTGAATTATGTCACTTTAATTGGAAAAACTCCGCATCCCTCGGAAATAATGAGGTGTGACACCTACGGACCAAAGCTGTTCGATTCACATTGGATGAAGATGGAACATTATACAGAAGGATATTCGATGGACCATTGGCAGTATGATTAGGACCAGGAGACACTGATTATGCTTTACGAGAGGTCCATGAAGCACTTGTAGGAACCACTCCGGCACTGAATCGCTGATTCACAAAATCATTAAGAGTAGGGTACTACTGGGATAGCATGGAAAAGGACAGTATGGAGTTTGTTCGAAAATGTGATAAATGTCAAAGGTTTGCACCAATGATCCATAAGCCTGGAGTACAACTTCATTCAGTCCTATCCCCGTGGCCATTCATGAAATAGGGGATGGATATCGTCGGCCCTCTGCCAACGGCCCCAGGTAAAGCTAAGTTCATTTTATTTATGACTGACTATTACTCTAAATAGGTTGAAGCACATGCGTTCGAGAAAGTAAGAGAGAAAGAGGTTATCGACTTCTTCTGGGATCACATCATATGTCGATTTGGGATACCCGCCGAAATATTGTGTGACAATGGAAAACAATTGGTCGGCAGCAAGGTAACGAGATTCCTCGAGGACCACAAAATAAAAAGGATATTATCAACGCCATATCATCCTAGTGGGAATGGACAGGCCGAATCGACGAACAAGACTATCATTCAAAACGTAAAGAAGAGGTTGAACGACACTAAGGGGAAGTGGAGAGAATTTCTACTTGAAGTCCTTTGGGCATATCGAACAATATCAAATACCAGTACGGGGGCAACCCCATTCTCCTTAGTATATGGTTCCGAGGCCTTGATTCCAGTCGAAGTCGGGGAACCTAGCACCAGATTTCGACATAAAACGGAAGAATTAAATCACGAGGCTATGAATACTAGCCTCGAACTATTGGATGAAAAACGAGAAGTTGCGCTTGTTCGGATGGCTGCGCAAAAGCAAAGAATCGAGAGATATTACAAAAGAAGAACCAACCTTCGCCACTTCGGAATCGGGGACTTAGTTCTGAGGAAAGTCACCCTCAATACTCGAGACCCAAATGAAGGGAAACTAGGCTGAAATTGGGAAGGACCATATCGGGTCCTCGGTATCATCGACAAGGGATCTTAGAAACTTGGCAAAATGGAGGGCGAACAACTACCAAACAATTGGAATGTGTCACTCCTCAAACGGTATTATTGCTAAGGTATGACTTTCCCCCTTTCCATTTGTATTTGATACTAACTTATTGCAGGTGTTCGATCGAGGACGTCGAGAAACTCTTCAACACAAGGACCTTAGGTTTTAAAGCACACGTTGCACTATTTTTCCCTTAGATCGGTTTTTATCCCAAATGGTTTTTTCCGGCAAGGTTTTTAACGAGACAACAATTATGTGCTACCAGAGGAAAATTCAACAGTATCCAAGGCTTCTTTACAATCAACCTCGAATACTGGGGGACATCACCCTTGGATGTTACATTTTTTAGGAAAGTATTTCATGTCAAAAAAGGGTCTCGATAGGAAAACTTTGTAATGGACCAAATGGTCGAATGAACCGTGTCCATATAGATTAGTCGAGCTCCGATGGTAAAACATGTACGCATGTATAAATTATTTCAAGAAGCATTCTTTCTATATCAAACTTCTTGTGTCTCAAAGAAAACTTTCTACTATACGAGCTCCATGCTTATGATTTTGTGAGAAATGGCTCAAGGGCCAAGCGCAAATATACCTCGAACACTCGAGGACTGTCATCGACGATCGACATATTCAAGTGATCTAAACTCAAATTCATAATACCTCAAAGAGGCACCCCTCAATCTATAGGCCAAGGCCATCATTCTCGGGGACTAACACTTCGAACAAGTTCGGAGTGTTATTGGTGAATAAGCCCAAGAGGCATACCCAAAGGCTACGACCAAATTCATGCGGCTCGGAGACGTCCGAATCCCCCAATAAAAATAGGCCTTCAAATTCTTTGAAAAACCGGTTAAAAAGGCTACCCTCGGCAATAATAAAAAGGCTTCGATAAGATCTTCCCTCGAAAAACCTTAAGAGGTATCAAATTATCTTTACACAAAAGTGCTAAGGCATAAAAAGCAGAGGGGTTTTAATCGACATCGAACCCTCAAAAAACTCAATGGATAAAAAATACATGCTAATGTATAAAGAAAATTTTACTAAGTATTTTAAGCTGAAAGAGGGAAATAATAGCCATCTTTTAGAGGTCATATCTGCCCGATCTAAAGAGCCTAAGGCCCAATATACTTGGAGTTCGAGATCTTATTTTCACTCCATCCGGACCTAAGGGTTCGATTATCCAAGACGAAATAGAAATGACGTGACTATGGCTCGAGGACTCACCATTATTGTAAGGACCCGGCCAGTCATTTTGAGAATTAACGCCCCGATCCCCTATTAACTATTTTCCCCGTGTCTTTTTCTGCTATGTGATTTGCCAGGATGGTTCATCTTGAGTTTTGGAGTGTTTTGGGACAATTAGTCCCTAAATGAGAGTTTAAGTCTTAGAATTTGGATCATAGTTGGAACAGTACGAAGACGGCTCCGGAATGGAATTCCATCAATTTTGTTAGCTCCATTGGATGATTATGGGCTTAGAGGCGTGTTCGAATTGTGTTTTTGAGGTCTAACTCATTTAGGCTTGAAATGGCAAAAGTTGAATTTTTGGATTTTCGAGCCGATAGTAGAATTTTTGATATCGGGGTCGGAATCTGATTCTGGAAGTTGGAATAGGTCCGCAGTGTTGTATGACTTGTGTGAAAAAATTGGGGTCAATCGGACATGGTTTGGGTTGTTTCGGCATCGGTTGTAGAATTTTGAGATTTCAAGTTCATTAAGTTTGGATTGGAGGGTGATTCGTGGTTTTAGTGTTGTTTGATATGATTTGAGGGCTCTACTAAGTTCGTATGATATTTTAGGATTGGTTGGTATGTTTTGTTGAGGTCCCGGGGCCTCGGTTGAGTTTCGGATGCTTAAAGGTTTTGGTTTGGGACTTGGGCATTTTGCTGAAGATTTGATGCACCTGTTGTTTTTCGTAACTGCGAATATTGGACCGCAGGTGCGAAGCCGACGAAGCGGCTAGGGAGCCGCAGATGTGGAAATGGACTTTGGCAACAGGAATCGCAGGTGCGGCTGGGGGACCGCAGAAGCGGTCTCGCAGATGCGGCCCAGTGCCCTTAGATGCGGCCCCAGCCCAGGTAAGTGACTTCCGCACCTACGATGATTCCTCCACAGGTGCGGCACCGCAGATGCGGCCCCATGAGCGTAGAAGCGGAAATCGCTGGGCAAAAAAGAGGATTTCGAGGGTTTGAAATTTCATAACACAAAATTTGATTTGGAGCTCGGTGGGAGGCGATTTCTCGAGGGATTTTAAAGGAGAGATATTGAGTAACTAATCCTAACTCTATTTTGATTATATTACATTAATCTATTGTTGTATTCCTAATCTAATTAAGGAATTTGAGGGTGGAAGTAGGAAATGGGGGAAAAAGTTCCCCAATTGAAAATCTGAG